TTTCACCATGTTGGCCAGGATGGTCTCAGTCTCTTGACCTTGTGATCACCCTCCCAAAGTGCTGGGATTACAGGTGTGAGCCACCGCGCCCTGCCGGCAATTTGAATTTTTAACACTATCGCAGAGTAGCCAGGGCGCCTGGGACAGGTAAAGGTTCCCATACCATGCTGTCGCATTGCTTCCACCATGCCTGCTCTTCCTGACAAAGCTGGGGCAGCTTTGGAGTCAGCCAGAAAACCGTATCCATCACATCTTAGGCTGCCCAGTGACGTGTGCACGTTTAGAATTCTGAGCCCTCTTTTCTCACATAAAGAAGCCTCTAATCAGGCCACTGGAACAATCCCGGCATGACCTCATGGCCCATTCAGATGGCCCATTAAAGAAAATGCCTTCGGGAAACTACAAAAGTTATGAGAAATCACTGAGTTTAAAGATGGCGGAAGCTCAGTGCTTTATTTCACACAAATTGCCAAATTGCATGGCTGAACACCTTGAAGCCTTGGAAATAGACCGGCCAATGGATTGGCCTTGCAAGGACTCTACTCCTCTTTTCAAAGGAGCCCAACTAACAGCTGCCTTCGGATTTTTACTTGGAACTCAACTAAAAACCTTATAAACATGTGTCAGAACTTGGAGATGAGCAGATCACACAGCTTTTCTACACAGCGCTGTAGCTACTGTGTTCCTGGGGTGACTTCTTCCTAGGACTTCAGTAAGTGGAATCGGACATTTGGTAACCGCACGGAGAAGACAATGATCAAAATTCTCTTGGAAGACTTAGAAAATGGAGATCCAGGTGATTCTGTTCATTTGTGAGCCCCGCAGGTGCATCACCAAGTGATGATCCTGTCCTGAATCACCAACAGGAGACCACCTGGCTGTTCACGGGCAGTGTTCTTCAAGACACAGAGCAGGGGGTTGATAAATTGTTCATAAAGCCAAATAAATAAACTATGCTCGAATAAGCGTAATATTCCATCCAAATATTTTGTGACTCATTGGTAATACCTTTTAAGGATCACTTAACAAACAGCAGCAAATAATGACTTTTTCCACTTAAAAGGTATTTGAGACATAACCCTTACATCTATGCAAATTGAGAGGAAGGCCAGGTAGCTACCTTGAAGCTCTTTCCAGAGGAATCTAAATTTTATCTCTGTTTCCTAAAATCCAGTTAATTCCCAGTCCCCCCTGATCTCAAGTCAAACACTCAGGTTGTCTGATTGAGAGTTGGGTCAGAATTACATGCTTATTTCCCTCCCTGCCGCACCCTACATAGGGTGCATCTGTAGTTAACACTCCAGAAACTCTTCCTGCTGCATTCTGATGCGCTGTAAGACCAGTCCAGCCCAGGAGCACCTTGTCCATAAGCACCTTGCCACATGGCTGATACCCTATACCCTCTCCCACCAGTAAATATTAAACTGTGTGTCATTATGCTCTGCTCTCCAAAAACTTACCAGTGATCACAAAGTTCTGTCTGTGGCATTTGGAGATGCCACCAAACTTCCAGTTCTCCCCCAAGATTCCAAGATACGAACTTTCCTTGTTTTCTTACCTCTCTGGTTGTTCCTTCTCTGTTACGTTCCTAATTTTTTTTTCCTTCTTCCTGTGGGTGCTGGAAGTGGGGTGGGGCAATAGCGATCTGTCCTTCAATTTGTGTTCTAGTTGTCCAAGGAATGTTGCCTTTGGAGTGTCCAATTATTGCTTCCAAGTACACATGTTCATTTGTTCATTAAAATATATCAAGCACCAGCTAAGTGTCAGTTACTGTACATGGGGACCGCATTCATAAGACTTAGACATTGCGCTCAAGGGACTTCCTTCCAAACTGCTCTATGGTGCATCACCGAGGGGCTTCTCCATTCTTCAGAATCTTGGGCCTGAAGACTTGGGAGCTTCCTTTGTGCATCATTTTCCAGATTTTGGGCACCTGCTATGATTTCCCCTCAAAACATACAACCTTGCACTTTAATCTATTTGGGGTTCTGTTCTCCATGCTGCCAGAGAAGACAAATTGGATCCTTGTTGTCTCCCTTGTCACTTGAATTCCTGTCTTCCTCGTACCCTGCTGCCCACCCATTTTAAGTACCTAACAGGTCCCCACTCCCTCCTCACCTCTCCCTCTCAGAAACACACACACAACTGATGAATATCTACTGCATGTCATACCAGATCCAGGAGCCTCTGCTTGGTCTTCAGAACTGAACTTCATCTCTTTCCCAGTATTCATCCATTGCCTGCTTCAGAGGCGTCCCCTCAGCGCCCCACCCACCTTCTCTCCCTCAGCTATACACCTTTCTTGCCATGTTGCAATCCCCCACTCCTGGGATGCCTTCCCAGCTCCTGTTGGCTTCTAATCCCATTCCCCAGGCATAGTTCAAGTCCTATATCTTCAAAATCCCCCTGTCCTCTCACCCTTCTACATCCTTTCCACATTTAGAGTAAATACGATACTCCTAGCCCTTCATTTTCCCCACTAAGTGGCACAGTGTCTCCAACCTTCTCTGCATGCTGTATTCACTCCTGGATCTTGTACACTCGTTTGCTGAGTCAATGAACAAGAGGCTGATTGAACAATTAGTTCAGGGAAGTCTAGAAACCCTCATCCCAGGATCAGCATGGAATAAAACTTGAAACTGACTATGAGAAGAAAATGCAAACTACTTCTGTGATATTGGAGAGGGGGAAGTCTTCTTAAACAGCACTCCAAAACACCCAAAGTATATGGCAAGAAAAAAGAGTTTGACTCCTAAATTAAGAATTTATATTTAATGAAAAGATATTTGAGATAGTTAGTTGGTAGAAAGATGATAGACTTGCCTAAGATATTTGTACCATCCCAAATTCACAAAGGATAAATGTCTAAAATATACAAGGAACTCATTCAAGAAGAAATGAATAATTATTATAATTTGTTTATATCATTTATATTTATTTATAGTTATGGCAATAGTTAATATAATAACATTTGTCAACTCTCTGTCATTTGCCAGATACTGTGTGTATTATTTTATTTAATCTTTACAAATCTATGAGGTGTTGCTGTTTTTCCTTATTACAGGCAAGGAAGTTAAGATAGAGTTACATGAGGAAGCTTGTTCGTGGTCACACAGTCAATAAATGGCAGGGCCAGGCTGTGTCCCAGGGAGACGGGCTCTAACATAAGTTCTAACTCCAGCCTCCTTGTTGGTATGCTTAGAGGACGTGAAAGGTAATTCACACTTCAGTGAATACTAAGTATAAAAAAGGGCCTCAGCTTCCTAATAATCAGACCTGTGCCATTTTTTGTTTTTGTTTTTGTTTTTGTTTTTGAGACAGGTTCTCACTCTGTTGCCCGGGCTGGAATGCAGTGCTGCGATCTTGGCTCACTACAGCTCCTGCCTCTTGGATTCAAGCAATTCTCTTGCCTCAGCCACCAAGTAGCTGAGATTACAGGTGTGCACTACCATGCCCAACTAATTTTTGTATTTTTACAAGAGATGGGGTTTCCACTAAAATCATTGGCAAAAATAAATTAGCGTTTCTGATAACACCATAGCACTGGTGGCATTTAGTGAAGATGTGACGTGATGGTGTATCCCTGGACCAGCCACATGCTGGGAGGACATTCCCAGGGAAAGACTTACACAGGGAAAAGAGGACCCTGTGAGGGGTCGTACAGAAGCTCCCTGTGATAAGCAACATGCCTGTGTTTGGGGAAGGTGTGGATGGAATGGCAGGCATGAGCTGGTGTGCAGACGTGGACAGGTAGAAATGGCATGCCAGTACACAGACGAAAAACACAGTATTCAAGAACAATTCTATATACAGTCATGCGTTGCTTGACAACGAGGAAGCATTCTGAGAAATGCGTCCTTAGGTGATTTCATCCTTGTGCGAACATTGTAGAATGCACTTCCATAAACCCAGATGGCACAGCCTACTACACACAGAGGCTATATGGTGTAGCCTGTTGCTTCTAGGTTACAAAGCTGTGTAGCATGTTACTGTATTGAGTGCTGTAAGCAACTTAACACATTGGTAAGTATTTGTGTATCCAAATATATCTAGACATAGACAACCTACAGTAAAAAATAGGATATATAAGCTTAAGTAAGGTATCACCTGTATAGGGAACTTACCGTGAATGGAGCTTGCAGGTGAGTGAGTGAATGAGTGAGTGGTGAGAGGATGTGAAGACCTAGGACGTTGCTGTCCACTCCTGTAGACTATACACTGCACACTTAGGCTACACTAAATTCATCAAAACATGCATTTCTTTCTTCACTAATAAATTAACTTTGCCTTACTGTAACTTTTTTACTTTAGTAACTTTTATTTTTTAACTTTTTGACTCCTAATAACACTTAGGTTAAAACACAAACAGGCCAGGAGCTGTGGTTCATGCTGGTAATCCCACCACTTTGGGAGGCTGAGGTAGGCAGATCACGAGATCAAGAGTTCAAGACCAGCCTGGCCAAGATAGTGAAACCCCATCTCTACCAAAAATACAAAAATTAGCCAGGTGTGGCGGTGCGTGCCTGTAGTCTCGGCCACTCAGGAGGCTGAGGCGGAAGAATCACTTGAACCCAGGAGGCAGAGGTTGCAGTGAGCTGAGATCACGCCACTGCACTCCAGTCTGGGTGACAGAGCGAGACTCCATCTCGAAAACACACACACACACACACACACACACACACATTATACAGCTGTACAGCTGTACCCAAATGTTTTCTTTATGTCCTTATTCTATAAACTGTTTTCTATTTTTAATATTTTTACTTTTAAAACATTTTTGCTAAAAACTAAGACACAGCCACACATTAGCCTAGGCCTACAGGGTCCAGATCTTCAATATCACTGTAATCCAGCTCCACATCTTGTCCCCATGGAGGGTCATCAGGGGCATAACACACATGGAGCTGTCATCTCCTAGGACAACAATGCCTTCTTCTGGAATTCCTCCTGAAGGGCTTGCATGAGGCTGTTTTACAGTTAACCTTTTTTTTTTTTTTAACCAAGTAGACGTTGTACACTCTAAAATAATGATAAAAAGTATAATGTAGTAATTACATAAACCAGTAAACCAGTAACATGGTCATTTATTATCAATTTCAAGTATTATATACTGTGCATAACTGGATGTGCTAGATTTCTATGCAACTGGCAGTACAGTAGCTTTGTTTACACCAGGGTCACCACAAGTGTGAGTCATGTGTTGGGACATTATGATGGCTACAATGTCACTAGGTGACAGGAATGTTTCTGGACCACTGTCATCTGACGGGACTGTGGCACATGTGGTCCATCGTTACTGAAATGTGAGGAAGTGCCTGACTCTAGTCCTCACAGATATGGAGGATCTAAGGACAGATACCAAATGCATTAGATTGGGCACCGATGGGGGAACAGGAGTAGGGAATGGAGAAGAGAAAAGAGTAAAATAAAAAACAAACATGCAAAACTATACATAACTGGCATGGATAATGGTGATAATGTACACGGCACTGAGAAATACGACAGAAAAATATGATAATTAACATTTTAAAAAAACAAGCAAAAAGCAAGAAGATATCAAGCACTGATTTCAGGATAACTCATTGAAGCCTCATATTTTAGCTTTGAGACTTAATTTTGTACAATCCACAGACAGAGGTTCCAGCGAGTAAATCACGATTAGGGTAATCCGAAGAGCTCCTTTTCTTCAGTTGTCTGTGGAAAACGTGACATTTTCCTTCAGGTAAAATCCGTGTATGCTGGCTGCCAGCACAGAGCCATCTGGCTGGCCTTGGCCGATGGCCATTGGTCTTGCCTTTGTCCCACCCCTGCAGCAGCCTTCTTCTCCAGGATGGTCAAAGCTCACCCAGAGCAAAGATGCTCTGCACTCAGGAACACTGGATTCAGGCACTGATCCAAGCCCCTGCACAGCTCTGTGATATAAAAATGAGAAGAGGAGAACTTGTCTTTTAGCCCAAACATTTTCCAAACCACAGGCAATTACCATGTCCTTCAGAGTCAAGGCACATTAGGTACATTGATAATAATTCCTGTAATTTTTAAGACCACAAAACATTACAACATTGAAAATTATAAATAGATAACATCGAAGTATGGTGGAAATTCTATTTTGTATGCATGTGTAGATTGACTAAGGGTCTTTTCTTTTTTTTCAGACTGGGCCAGAACCTAGTACCTGTAAGAATCAGCACAGTTCAGCCTTTTGTATCAATTGCAGTTGTGTCCACGTATGTGTGTGTGCATTCTTGGATATGCGTGCACACACCTGCATGTTACCTACACAAACCTCAGTGTTCCCATCCTTCTTAGGTGGGATTTTTGAACATTGCATTTACACTGGCCTGAAATAAGTTTGTTGGAGTCATGGGCATCATGTAGTGGCCAGGCTGGGCTGCAAAGCCATTGGCTATCCAAACATTCAGAAGACCTTTAGGAATCAATGTGTTTTTGTTCAGGAATCTATGTAGAATACAATTTTCCTAGAGCAGTGTTGAGTCAAGAGGAAGCAAAAAACATGCCTTATTATTGGATCAAAATAAAAATAGGAAACTTCCGTTGTTCATTTCACCACTCCTATTGTTTCAATAACCAGTTTATCAATTCAATTCAGAATCACAATTAGAGCTGGAGGAAACCAAAACCATCACCCACTCCTCTGATTTTGAGGCGGGGGAAATGACAACCCTGCAAGGAGTCTCTTGCCTAAAACTATCCAGCACATAAGGTGTGCAGTTGGAGCCTGCCTTGCATTTGGGGTCTTTTCCATTCATTATACTAAGTCTTTGCTGTTAACAAACACTACTTATTGGGCTCTGATATTGGGGAATATAACACGTATGCTATGCCTTGAATGGCCAGGAGGGGGTGCTAGATGTTAGTACAAATAACTAAATGCATTCAAAACACTCTACTTTTAAAGCATGAAGCTGGGAGTTGAAAACAAATAGGAAATATAACATATTTTGTATTAAAATGCAGCAGCTTCATGAAGACAGAAATTAATCCTTGAATCATAAACAGCCAAGCAGTTCCCTTATGGCACAGGCTCTGGAGACCGATCAGTTTGGTTCGAATTCTTGGTGTGCTCTTTATTAGCTAGGTGACCTCGAGGCGTTATTTAACCTCTGAAAGCTTCAATTTCATCTGAAAAATGAGGATAAGTAACACCTACTTTATGCTTGCGAGAAAAGAATACATATATACAATGTTTGACACTCAAAGGATATTTGCTATCATTTAATGGATCAAGAATTTCTGTTATCATGTTAAAAATTAGTCTTTTAATAAAAGGCCATTAGCTATTTACTTAACAGTGCTAGAGGAAATTTCTATGACTTTTTGAGGTTCACCATAATTAACTGAATGAATACTATTCAACAGTATCTTAGGCTGTTTGCTTACTGGCATAGGAGAGTGACCCTTGAGTTTCTAAAATCTTTCTGAAATTTTCTTCATGATCTCTTATACTTTATAGCTTAAAAAGAAATATATATAATATTATATACATATGACATATGTAGACATATTATATGTTATATAATTTATATTAAAATATTTATGCATATATATGAATATAAAATGGCTGGTAGCCAGGATTTTGGAATTTGTTAGACTTCAGTTGAAATCCAGGCTCCATTATTTACTTGTCAAATGACCTTGAAGAGTTTAACCTTTTTAAGATTCCAATTCTCTCATCTGTGAAATGTGATTGATTATATCTCCTTTGGAGTATTATTGTAAGAATTAAGTTGTGGTAAAGACTAGCTTAGATACCATTTTGTTTAGAAATGAATGAGGTGGCACAATCCCTGGTCCCAGGAGATGAATGGTGTATCCAGGGTAAAGGTTATTATCGCCACATACAGTGACTTTCCCAAGGACATACAACCTCTAAGCGACAGTGCTTGGATTTTTATTCTGCCTTTTCCAAAGCAATAGGTTCTTGGAGTTAAAAGTTCTCAGGTCAAACTCTCAGAAGTGGCCATATTTGGCAGCTCCATCTTGAGAAGTAACCTCTCTCTTCTGCACACTCTCCGTGGGATTGCATTCTTGGCTGCTCATCCTGGGCTGAGGCCCATGACGAGACCACTCCCAGGGCACCAGGCAGCCACAGGGCCGGTGGACAGAGCAGGCAGGAAGTGAAGCTTTGGCTGAGGTTTCTGCGACACACTTAACTTCCCTGGAAACGGTGCCTGACACAGCCTGGCCACAACACTGGCAGGAGATGCTGCTGTTTTCTGGGAACATGCAGGACCCTGTGAGCAGCACAGGACACAGGAACATAAACTGGGGACCGTCCTCCACCCACTCTGGCTTCATATCTTCTCCATTGTCCACCCCTATTTTAGTCCAGGATGATCAGTGACGATGTGCATGAGTTACTCATTCCCATCTATGCCCCAGCCCAGACTGACCATATTAAAATCCTGTTCTTTGCAGAATTTGTTATTTTTCCTTTTAATTTTCTATGGAAAGAACACACGTTATATAATTCAGCTTTATTGACACCCTTATAAAAGCCTTCTAAACTACATACCTGATAATTTATCCCGTTCAAATATGCATATATTTGTTGCATATATCTGTTGCCCAGGCTGGAGTGCAGTGGCACGATCACAGCTCACCGCAGCCTTGATCTCCCAGACTCAAGTGATCCTCCCACCTCAGCCTCCCAAGTAGTTCAGACTACAGGCGTGTGCCATCACACCCAGCTAAATTTTTGTATTTTTTGTAGAGACTGGGTTTCACCATGTTTCTCAGGTTGGTCTGGAACTCCTGGGCTTAACTGCCTTATCTGCCTGCCTCAGCCTCCCACAGTGCTGGGATTACAGGCATGAGCCACCGTGCCCAGCCTCACTGATACACATTAAATGCCTACTGTGTTCCAGGCCTTGTGCTGTGTGCTGTTGATACTGAGGTGTGTGCCCCCTTAAGCTTGTTGAAAACACTACTGTCCTGCGTCACTGTGGTCACAAAGTGATACAGAGAGCCCAGACAACCATTTAGAGATGAGGAAATTCTAACAATTCTTAGTAAGAAGATTATTTCCCAAAATGTTGCTAGGGAACATCTCACAGCAGACTGAAACAGAAATATAAGCAACTATCTGCATACTAGAACTTTCTCCCCAAGGCAGTGCTATTTTTTTTTAACAATTCTTCTATCATCATCATCATAATTCTGACCTCTTGATAGGTAAAGGTACAATTATGAGGAGAAGCAGAAGAACTTTTACATCTGTGAGTTTGCACCTGTCTCCCACCACAGTGAGCCGATCACACCCTCAGGCGCCCAGAAGACTGGCAAGGAGGACTTGATAGAGACAAAAGGAGAGACACAAGAGGGGACAGAGGTTAATATGAAGAGGGAGAGGGTGTGATATAGAGACAGTGATGGCAACAGAAACTAGAAAGATGAAGAGGGATGGAGAGCAGAGTGGAAGTGAGAAGGAAAGAAAATGATTGGGACAGTGGCCATACAAGCAAAAAGAGCGAGAGACAGAGACACATAGAGAGGAGTAGGTCTCTATCATGACCGGGAGAAAGAGAGAGAACAGAGACAGAAAGACAAAACACACAGAGAGAGGGTGAGAGACAGAGGGATAGAGAGACAGAGAGAGATAGAGAGAGGGAGAGAAGATGGAGCGAGAAAACAACAGAGAAGAGAGACTGTGATAAAAATATAGGGACAGGGAGAGGGACAGGGACTGAGAGAGACAGAGAAATAGGGAAAGATACAAGAAGAGAGAACTGGAGTTAGGGGGAGAGATAGGGAGAGAGAGAACGATAGACCTGGAGAGACAGAAGCTTACACATAGACACACAGAGTGTGGCAGTGTTAGGAAGATAGAGGTAAATATACAGAAATAGTGGTAAACATTGAGATAGAAAAATATATATAAAGAGAAAAATAAAGAAATATGCATATTTATATATTGTTAAAATAATATATAAATGTATTTATACATGTATAATATGTTATATAAAATATTATATGTATTTACATACAAAAAAACTAGCCAGAGGTGGTGGCGGGCACCTGTAGTCCCAGCTACTTGGGAGGCTGAGGCAGGAGAATGGCGTGAACCCGGGAGGCGGAGCTTGCAGTGAGCCAAGATCTGGCCATTGCACTCCAGCCTGGGCGACAGAGCGAGACTCCGTCTCAAAAAAAAAAAAAAATTATGTTTATTTCTAGCTTTCCTTTTCTCTTTATATATTCTATCTGTCTGTCTATCCATACCATTGCCACAATAACGCCATGTAGCAAATATGCCAAACTCAGTGGCTTAGCACAATAATCATCGACGAATTCTTACAAGTGCATAGGTTTGCTAGGCTGTTCTGCTGATCTAAACCAAGCTCATCTCATCTTGGTTGGGCTTGGCCACATGTCAGGCAGCTGCTGGGTTAGCTGGGAGGGGGACTGCCTGGTCAAAGTGCCTGGGTCCGAATAAATCAGCTCCACTACACACAGGGTTTCATCCTCCTGCAGGCTAGCCTGGATTTGTTCTAATGACAATGACAGAAAGCGAAGAGCATATCAGGCCACTTGAGGCCTCGATTCAGAACTGGAGCCCTGTGAGTTCTTTTTGTATTTTAGAAAAAAAACGGGGGAATAAACGGCGCCTCTTAATCGAAGGAGCTTTGAATTATCACGAATGAGTTTCACTTCTGGGAAATTTGCAGTGAGCCCACTCTGCCTTGTCTGACTCACAAATGCAACTATGAACCCTGAATCTGAGGACTTTGAAAAATAAGCAATAGCAAGTCAATTGGAGGAGGAAATTGGAAAGTGAAGCACTGTGAATTCACAGTAAGTTTCTTATTTATTTTTCCTCAATTATCCCCTGGCCTGTACTCACAAATAATCAGAAGTGCACAACTGTACACCATGTGAGGACAGAGAGAAAGGG